GGTGTGGTAGGTATGGTACCCAGCAAGGCCACCCCACCCAAACGTAATATACTACAACTTTTAAAGCATCCCAGAGCGATAAAATGCATATACAGTTCACTCATTACTTACCTTAAAATATTTGTAGTCTTAATATAGGGTGAGAGGTGAGTAAATGAGATAAAACAAATAAACGAGAGAGAGTGTGTGTGTGTGTGTGTGTGTGTGTGTGTGTGTGTGTGTGTGTGTGTGTGTGTGTGTGTGTGTGTGTGTGTGTACGTACGTGTGTACTCCCCTAGTTGAGGTTGCAGGGGTCGAGTCCAAGCTCGTGTGTGTGTGTGTGTGTGTGTGTGTGTGAATATGAGAATGAGTATATGAGAGAGGACAGGGACAAGGAGTACGTAAACAAACAGATGAACGTGTCTGGTTTTGGTTCATACAAGTTCATATTATACCATAATACAAACACTTTATATTGTGTACAAGTAGTCTCCACACTGGTACAGTAGAATAAAGAGCAACACTCCCATTCTCATGTAACACCATTTTTAGAAGAAGACACACTCTGAAGGCATATGAAAGGAATAATTTTCTAATTACCCCCAGTAATATTATTGTGCACACATTTTCTTTGGTGTTGAACTATAGAAGACATTTTTCTTTCCGAAAAGATGACTGGAAAAACATCTCATATTTGTTAAATTATTCTACTGTGGGGTGTATTTATCATGTTGATATGTTACGTAGTGTGTTTATATAATTTTGAAAAAATATCATAATGGATTAACAAAAATGTGTATATTAATGTAATATGTGACATTTAATGGGCCTCAGTGATTATTATTGAGTATTTTTTTTTTTCAACAAACTGGCCGTATCCCACCAAGGCAGGGTGGCCCAAAAAGAAAAACGAAAGTTTCTCTTTTTAAATTTAGTAATTTATACGGGAGAAAGGGTTACTAGCCCCTTGCTCCCAGCATTTTAGTCACCTCTTACAACACACATGGCTTATGGAGGAAGAATTCTGTTCCACTTCCCCATGGAGATAAGAGGAAATAAACAAGAATAAGAACTAGAAAGAAAATAGAAGAAACCCCAGAGGGGTGTGTATATATATGCTTGTACATGTATGTGTAGTGTGACCTAAGTGTAAGTAGAAGTAGCAAGACGTACCTGAAATCTTGCATGTTTATGAGACAGAAAAAAGGACACCAGCAATCCTACCATCATGTAAAACAATTACAGGCTTTCGTTTTGCACTCACTTGGCAGGACGGTAGTATCTCCCTGGGCAGTTGCTGTCTACCAACCTACTACCTAGAATTATTGAGTATTATCATTATTAATATGGCGTCCTCAAGACATAAGACACACTTACTAATTTTATTGTGTACCTGCACACCAGCACAGTGTGTAAGTTCACTTAGGTACAGGTACACATAAGTACATACAATTATCAAAGTATATATAAAATTGAAATAACTTTAAAACACTTGAAATTTTGGAAAGTTTCCAGACATAATAGAGAGATGCAGAGCTTACAGAGAATGTAAACAAACCGGGAGGGGCGCAGTGACCGTATTAGGAAGCCAGGTGGAGGAGCCATATAGCTAGTTTTGGTCATAATTTGCAATGTCCATTTTAGCGGAATGCTGTAAAGCAGGGCCCTACTGCACAGTACTGCATATAGATGTTCATGATGCGTTGAAACCCAGCCAGCTATGTATCACAGAACGAGAACTTTATGCCACTTCTAATCTTCATGAAATGCCAGATACATTATTATTACCTATTTGTTGTTACAAAAGCTAAGGTAGGCCTGTGGTGTTCTATCTTCAGTATTTTGTCTGTGGTAAAGGTTTTAAAACCTCCAGTGGTTGTAACACTCACTGCCTCTTGTACTTTATTTCAATGATCTACCACTGTTTATGAAGAAAACCTCTTAGTGTTCTTTTGAGAAGTCTTAAGTTTGTACCTGTGACCAGTTAGGTAGGGAACCTTCCCTGTAAATTTGTACAGTGCTGTATGATTATAATTGTCAATTTGTATATTTAACCTACACCTGCTAATGTATTTTCTTGTTTACTTTTTTAATTAATACAAACCCATGGGCTGTCCATCACACACTAGTAGAGCGATTATTGTCAATGACATACTAATATATGCTCATAATTAACAGTGTCCTCAGATTTGCTATGAGCAGTATATATGAAAAAAAAAAAAATTCTGCCCCACAAAGTGCATGAGGGAAACCACTAATCTCTGACCTCTGTGTGTGAGTTAAAATAACAACTTTGGAGAGTTCTTTAGGATGGTTTTCATGGTTTTATTGGCTGTTTCTTAGTGGCAATAGACTGGAATGCATATTAGCGATGTGGAGAAAATTTTGGTTGGTTTAACACTGGAAGTGACCTGCAATAGGCCTCAAAGTGGCAGGAGTATTGGATGTTCCTGGGAAAGGGTAGGGGTCCTTCTTCCTCCCCCAGTTTGTATTTTTACTACATCTGCATCAGTTATTGGGATGGCATAAACCACAATCAGGTAGTCTTGGCTATAGTTTATTAGTTAAGAAATAGGGTAAAAGACAATTTCTTTGTGTTATGGTGGATTCAAAGTGGAAGGCAAGTGTTATATAGGAGAGGCTCGGGAATGTGATTAATGAACAGAGGGAAGATTTTTTTTAAGTGGCTGGAGTGCCAACACTGTTTTGGACCCTCTTTGAATTGGAATATGTAGTAAATAGTGTACATTTCTAATTTTTAAGTACTTAATAGGATAGCTTTGATGATTGAATGGGCAGTTCTTTTCATTAAATGGATAGTACGGAAAGCATACTAGTAAAATAGCCAGGAATTGGGTCGGTCTGAGTCTCAAAGTGGGCTCAGACCTTCAACTCTGCTCCTCTGTAATTAGGTACCGTATCACATTAAATCTTGCCATTTTAAAATGATAGAGAATGTTTTTCTAAAAGATTAAATTGTTTTATATTTTATCATACTTGTGGACAAAAAAGGGGGCTTTCAATTTGGCCAATCTACCTGAAGTCTGGCTGATGAGTGTTCTGAAGGTTAATGTCCCCACAGCCTAGTCCTGACCAGGCCTTCTGGTGAATCAGGGTCTGATTAACCAAGCTGTTAGAGCTGGCCCTACACATTCCAACAAAAAACACAGCCTAGCTGGTTAGGAACTAACAGTAGCATCTTATCCACTTCCCTCTTAAAGACAGTTAGGGGTCTTTTGGTAATACCCCTTAGGTACGATGCTAATACAATACAAATCTGCTGGATGCTCAAGCCCCTTCAACTCAAAGCCTCTTGTACCCCCCATTCCAACCATTCCTGGGATGAACTCTTACCCTTCTACCCCAAATTTATACACCCTCTTCATTTTTTTTTTTATTAATGGGAAGCACTGTAAGCTTGTGAAATTCATGCATTTTTTCACTGTTGTTATTAGCATGTCATTTGGATCCAGTCCTGCTGCAATTTTACGTATCTTATTAAATTTTTATTACTTTTTCATGGAACACTGGGCTTCATATTCTTTTTAGGTTTCATGTCATCTTAATGACAAATTGTTGTGGCAACATTAAGATTCCTTTAACCCTTTGACTGTCGCGGCCGTATATATACGTCTTACGAGGTACCGTGTTTGACGTATATATACTCATAAATTCTAGCGGCTTCAAATCAAGCAGGAGAAAGCTGGTAGGCCCACATGTGAGAGAATGGGTCTGTGTGGTCAGTGTGCACCATATAAAAAAAATCCTGGAGCACGCAGTGCATAATGAGAAAAAAAAACTCCGACCATTTTTTTAATTAAAATGCCGACTTTGTGGTCTATTTTCGTATAGTATTTATGGTTGTATTCTCATTTTCTTGGTCTCATTTGATAGAATGGAAAACATATTATGGAAATAGAGGTGATTTTGATTGATTTTACTATAAAAAGAACCTGGAAATGGAGCTCAAAATAGGGAAAATGTTTGATTTTTGCCAATGTTCAAAAGTAAACAAATGATGTCATTGTCCAATAAATGTCCAACTAGCCATTCTAATATGCAGTCATGAATGGGTTGATGTTATTTATACAATTATTACAGTATTGCAGTAGTCTGCATAATAGTAAGTCTTCTATTTTTTGTTTGAATAAAAATTCAAAATAGAAAGCAAGAGTAATATCAGAGGGGCCTGGAGACATGACTGATGAACAAAGAAAATGTTATTTTAGAGCCAGGAATGTCTGCATTGTTCATTCTGGACCTTATTTTGAAATTGTCATGTTTTTTAATTTTCGTGAAATTGGCCAAATTGCAAATTTCTGACCATGTTATTGGGTAGTTGAAATCGGTAAATGGGCAGTTTCTTGTACTCAATCGATCGAAAAAATGGAGTTCTAAAGAAATAGCTATGAGTTTGGTCGACTGGAACAATGGAATTAGCCGAAAATAGGGCTCAAAATGGGCGAAATCGCCGATTTGTAAACATCGCCGAGGTCGCTAAATTCGCGAGAGCATAACTCCGTCAGTTTTCCATCAAATTTCGTTTTTTTGGTGTCATTACAATCGGGAAACGATTTTCTATCATTTCATAAGAAAAAATAATTTTTTTTTTTAAATTTTGCGACACCAGGAGACACCTCAGGATTGGGGGTTGTGACAGTCAAAGGGTTAAAGCATATGCACCATATGATCCATACTGGTTTACCACTTGCTTTTCATACATGTGAAATGTTACAAGAGTCTTCAATTCTAAATCACTTTAGATTTCCCAGGAACTTGGGTTTTTCTTGGATACTTACAAAATATTGAGTTATGTATCATAGATAATTAGTTTTATACTGATTAATATAATTCAAAAGATTTTTTAAACTAAATCACCTATATACATGTTTAGTTCCTTTGTAAATACAGTATTATACAGTAATGTGCATTTAGCAATTTGTGTAAATCATTGCAAGCACTATAAAATGAAGTTCAGTTGTGCAAATATAGTTAAAAATTGCAATAATTTTTAGTTAGCAGTTATTACTACCTAAGCAGTTTACCCCTAAGAACAAGTTGCTCTACCAGTTCTCAAACTGATCAACTCTTCGTTTTGTGTTTCCTTTGCGCACCTCTCGCAGTGTCTTGTACTTAGTGTTGCCTTCATTAATGTTTCTGTTGTAAATCCTGTCCAAGTTGGTCATTTCTCGTGGCATTCGGTCCATTGCTAAAGACATCTTCACTTCCTGTGAACAACAAATATTAATTACTGTATTTCTCGTCAAGTACACTTTTTTTTTTAACACTGGCTGTCACCCACCGAGGTAGTAATCTGAAAAAGAAGAAACCTTCATGATCATTCACTCTATCACTGTCTTGCCAGAGGTGCACAGATACTGCAGTTCACATGCCCCTCCAAACTACAAATATCCCCACCCCTCCTTCAAAGTACAGATTTGAGTCCAGTTGACTGGTTTTCCTGAATCTTTACACAAAATGTTAGTGCTCACACTCCAACAGCTCAAGTCCCAAAAACCATTTGCCTCCATTACTATCTAACAGCAGGCATGCTCACGCATGCCTGCTGGATGTCCAAGCCTCTCGCACACAAAACTTTACACCCTGCTAACCTTTCCTAGGATGACCCCTACCCTGCTTTTCCTTCACTACAGATTTATACACACTCCAAGTCATCCTATTTTGCTTCACCCTTTTTAAATGTTCAAACCACCTCAACCCCCTCACCCCTCTGGGTAATACTTTTAGGAATTGTACCTCCTAATCTCCAAGCTACAAATTCTCTGCATAATATTTACACCACACATTGTCCTCAGACACATCATCTCTACTGCCTCCAACTTCCTTATTGTTGCAACATTCACAACCCATGCTTCACACTCATATAAGAGTGTTGGTACCACTATATTCTCATACCTTCCCCATGGATAATGTTTTGTCTCCACAGACTTCTCAATGCACCACCCATTTTTTTTTACCCCTCATCAATTCTGTGGTTCACCTTATCTTTCATATATGAAGACCCATCTGCTGACAAGTCCACTCCCAAATATCTGAACACACACACTTCATCCATACTCCTTCCTTCAAATCTGGTATCCAAATATCCATTTTCAAAATTGATTATTACCCTCATCACCTTGCTCTTTCCTATGTTCACTTAATTGCCTCCTTTCACACAGCCTCCCAAATACATCTACCAACCTTTGCAACTTCTCTTCAGAACCTTTGTAATTTCTCTTCAGAACATCCCAATAGCACAGTGTCATCAGCAAAAAAAAAAAAATCTGACATCTCACTTTCTATTACAGTTTCTTATTGCCAACAACACTGAATTTGGGGGTTTCTGAAGAGAAGTTGCAAAGGCTGGTGGACGAATTTGGGAGGGTGCGTAAAAGAAGGAAAATAAGTGAATGTAGAAATAGAAAACTGCATACAGTGGACCCTCAGTTATCGGCCATAATCCGTTCCAGACGGTCGGCTAAAAACCGAAATAATATTTCCCATAAGAATTAATGTAAAGACATTTAATCTTTGGGTCTATGAAAGATGAGGTGAATCATAGAATTGATGAGGGGAAAAGGGTGAGTGGTGCATTTAGGAGTCTGTGGAGACAAAGAACTTTGTCCTTGGAGGCAAAGAGGGGAATGTATGAGAGTATAGTTTTACCAACGCTCTTATATGGGTGTGAAGCATGGGTGATGAATGTTGCAGCGAGGAGAAGGCTGGAGGCAGTGGAGATGTCATGTCTGAGGGCAATGTGTGGTGTGAATATAATGCAGAGAATTCGTAGTTTGGAAGTTAGGAGGAGGTGCGGGATTACCAAAACTGTTGTCCAGAGGGCTGAGGAAGGGTTGTTGAGGTGGTTCGGACATGTAGAGAGAATGGAGCGAAACAGAATGACTTCAAGACTGTATCAGTCTGTAGTGGAAGGAAGGCGGGGTAGGGGTCGGCCTAGGAAAGGTTGGAGAGAGGGGGTAAAGGAGGTTTTGTGTGCGAGGGACTTGGACTTCCAGCAGGCATGCGTGAGCGTGTTTGATAGGAGTGAATGGAGACAAGTGGTTTTTAATACTTGACGTGCTGTTGGAGTGTGAGCAAAGTAACATTTATGAAGGGGTTCAGGGAAACCGGCAGGCCGGACTTGAGTCCTGGAGATGGGAAGTACAGTGCCTGCACTCTGAAGGAGGGGTGTTAATGTTGCAGTTTAAAAGCTGTAGTGTAAAGCACCCTTCTGGCAAGACAGTGATGGAGTGAATGATGGTGAAAGTTTTTCGTTTTTGGGCCACCCTGCCTTGGTGGGAATCGGCCAGTGTGATAATAAAATAAAAACATTTAATCTGTTTAAGACAAAAATATTCACAAAAAAAAAAAAAATAGGAGGAGGTGGTAAGTTACTAAATGCTGTAAAGAGTTTTTATGAGGATAGTGAGGCTCAGGTTAGGGTGTGTAGAAGAGAGGAGACTACTTCCCGGTAAAAGTAGGTCTTAGATAGGGATGTGTAATGTCACCATGGTTTAATATATTTATAGATGGGGTTGTAAAAGAAGTAAATGCTAGGGTGTTCGGGAGTGGGGTGGGATTAAATCATGGGGAATCGAATACGAAATGGGAATTGACACAGTTGCTTTTTGCTGATGATACTATGCTTATGGGAGATTCTAAAGAAAAATTGCAAAGGTTAGTGGATGAGTTTGGGAGTGTGTGTAAAGATAGAAAGTTGAAAGTGATCATAGAAAAGAGTAAGGTGATGAGGGTATCAAATGATTTAGATAAAGAAAGATTGGATGTCAAATTGGGGAGGAGGAGTATGGAAGAAGTGAATGTTTTCAGATACTTGGGAGTTGACGTGTCAGCGGATGGATTTATGAAGGATGAGGTTAATCATAGAATTGATGAGGGAAAAAAGGCGAGTGGTGCGTTGAGGCATATGTGGAGACAAAAAATATTATCTATGGAGGCAAAGAAGGGAATGTATGAAAGTATAGTAGTACCAACACTCTTATATGGGTGTGAAGCTTGGGTTGTGAATGCAGCAGTGAGGAGGCAGTTGGAGACAGTGGGGATGTCCTGTCTAAGGGCAATGTGTGGTGTAAATATTATGCAGAAAATTCAGTGTGTGGAAATTAGGAGAAGGTGTGGAGTTAATAAAAGTATTAGTCAGAGGGCTGAAGAGGGGTTGTTGAGGTGGTTTGGTCATTTAGAGAGAATGGATCAAAGTAGAATGACATGGAGAGCATTTAAATCTGTAGGAGAAGGAAGGCGGGGTAGGGGCTGTCCTCGAAAAAGGTTGGAAGAAAGGGGTAAGAGAGGTTTTGTGGGCGAGGGGCTTGGACTTCCAACAGGCGTGCATGAGCGTGTTAGATAGGACTGAATGGAGACAAATTGTATTTGGGACCTGACGATCTGTTGGAGTGTGAGCAGGGTAATATTTAGTGAAGGGATTCAGGGAAACCGGTTATTTTTATATAGCCGGACTTGAGTCCTGGAAATGGGAAGTACAATGCCTGCACTCTAAAGGAGGGGTTTCGGGATATTAGCAGTTTGGAGGGATATGATGATTCTCTCTATACGTATATGCTTCTAAACTGTTGTGTTCTGATCACCTCTGCAAAAACAGTGATTATGTGTGCGTGAGGTGAAAGTGTTGAATAATGATGAAAGTATTTTCTTTTTGGGGATTTTTTCTTTCTTTTTGGGTCACCCTGCCTCGGTGGGAGACGGCCGACTTAAAAAAAAAAAAAAAAAAAAATTCTCCCTTTATATATATATATAATATATATCTCTCTCTCTCTCTCTCTCTCTTCTCTCTCTCTCTCTCTCTCTCTCGTCTCTCTCCTCTCTCTCTCTCGCTCTCTCTACTCTCTCTACCTCTCTCTCCTCTCTCTCTCTCTCTCTCTCTCTCTCTCTCTCTCTCTCTCTCTCTCTACTCTCTCTCTACTCTCTACCTCTCTCTTCTCTCTCTCTCTCTACCTCTCTCTCTCTCTCTCTCTCTCTCTCTCTCTCTCTCTACCTCTCTCTCTCTCTCTCTCTCTACCTCTCTCTCTCTCTCTCTCTCTCTACCTCTCTCTCTCTCTACCTCTCTCTCTCTCTCTACCTCTCTCTCTACCTCTCTCTCTCTCTACCTCTCTCTCTCCCCTACCCTCTCTCCCCCCTACCTCTCTCTCCCCCTACCTCTCTCTCCCCCTACCTCCCTCTCTCCCCCTACCTCCCTCTTTCCCCTACCTCCCTCTTTCCCCTACCTCCCTCTTTCCCCTCCCTCCCTCTTTCCCCTCCTCCCTCTTTCCCCTCCCTCCCTCTTTCCCCCTCCCTCCCTCTTTCCCTCCCTCCCTCTTTCCCCTCCTCCCTCTTTCCCCTCCCTCCCTCTTTCCCTCCTCCCTCTTTCCCTCCTCCCTCTTTCCCCTCCCTCCCTCTTTCCCCTCCCTCCCTCTTTCCCCTCCCCCTCTCTTCCCCCTCCCTCTCTTCCCCCCTCCCTCTCTTCCCCCCTCCCTCTCTTCCCCCTCCCACTCTTCCCCCCTCCCACTCTATCCCCCCTCCCCTCTTCCCCCCTCCCTCTCTTCCCTCCTCCCTTTTTTTTATGCACAGTTTGACAAGGTTAAGGATCCCTAGCTTTATTGACAAGCTATTTACAGGTTAAGGATTCCTAACTTTATAGGCAATCAATAGAACAAATGGAGTTCTAAAGAAATAGCTATGAGTCTGGTCGACTGGAACAATGGAATTAGCCAAAAATAGGGCTCAAAGTGGGTGAAAACACCGACTTGTAAATATCGCCAAGGTCACTAACTTCGTGAGAGCGTAATTCCGTCAGTTTTCCATCAAATTTCGTTTTTTTGGTGTCATTACAATCGGGAAAAGATTTGCTATCATTTCATAAGAAAAAATAAATTTTTTTTTTTAATTTTTCGACACCAGGAGACACCTCAGGATTGAGGGTTGCGACAGTCAAGGGGTTAAATAATATTTTGGTTATTATTGCATGTTAATGTCAGTATTAACTAGTGATGTATTGGATATATTGACTCAAAATGGACCTAAATCTGAAACAAAATTTATGTAGACTAAATATATTATTTGTAATTTCAACTTCTGAGGTGGCTCTTGGAATACATACAAGACCCCACAAATTTGTAGGGATGCCTCTACAAATATGCTGATTTTTTTTTTCCCAAATTAGGGAGAATTTCATGCAGAGGTATTTCTTAGGTGATGGAAAATATAGTACTA